TGTGGGGGCGATATGCTGACTCTGTAAACCGCTTAGAGAGGGCTGAAAGCCCTATGAAGCGGTATATAAGTCTAACTGCTATTGCTATTGCAATGTCTGTCTTATTAATTGGAACTTTAAAGATAGCTCTGCCTTGGACTCTGATTTAATTCTGCATGATATTTGGAACGCTGACAGCCTCATTGAAACCGTGGGGCAGGGCTTTTTTTTTCTTCTTTTTTTTTTAACAAATTGGCACCACTGAAGATATTGACTTGTTGCAATGGAACTGTTTTGAAAAAGCAGTATAAATTCAGATTTGCAAAGAAAATTTGGAAGGGAGGGAGGGGGAGAGAGGGAGGGAGGGAAGGGAAGGAAGGTGGGAAGCAGAAAGAAAGGAAGGAAGGAAGGAAGGAAGGAGAAAAAGAAAGGAGGGAGAAAGGGAGGAGGAAAAAAGGAAGGAGAGAGGAAAGGAGGAGGAAAAAAATGATGGGAGGAAGGAAGGAAGGAAGAAAAGAAGAAAGTAGGGAAGAAGGAAGGAAGAAGAGAAGGTGTAATTAAGGGAGGGAGGGAGGAAGTAAGGTGTAATTATGGAAGGAAGGAGAAAAGAAGGAAGGGAGGAAGGAAGGAGGAAAAAGGAAGGTGGGAAGGAGGGAGGAAGAAAAGAAGGAAGTAGGGAAGAAGGAAGGAAGGAAGGAAGGAAAAAGGAAGGCATAATTAAGAGAGGGAGGGAGGGAGCAAGGAGTAATTATGGAAGGAAGGAGGGAAGAAGGAAGGGAGGGAGGGAGGAAGGGAAGGAATGAAGGAGAGAAGGAGTAATTGAGGAAGGGAGGGAGGGAGGGAGGGAGGGAGGAGAGAAGGAGTAATTAAGGAATGAAGGAAGGGAGGGAGGAGGCAGGGAGGAGAGAAGGAGTAATTAAGGAAGGGAGGGAGGAAGGAGAGAAGGAGTATGAATGGAGGGAGGGAGAGTAATTAAGGAAAGGAGGGAGGAAGGGGGAGGGAGGGAGGAAGAAGAGAAGGAGTAATTAAGGCAGGAAGGAAGGAAGGAAGGAAGGAAGGAAGGAAGAAAGGAAGGAAGGAAGGAAGGAGAGAAGGAGTAATTAAGGGAGGGAGGGGGGAAGGAAGGAGGACTGGCAATCATTAATAAGCGATATCCAAAAATGATTCAACCTCCTCACCTGGCGTATACCCCCAAGGTTCATAATACGATGGAAAGACGCCAAGATGGCAGCCTCTGACAAACTCTTCATAGTCCATTGGTAATAATGGACTCGTCGAGGAAAGAAATTCGGGATGCAGGATTACCTGCAGGGAAGAAAGAAAGAAGTTAAGAAAATCCGCGTGACTTTCCCAGCAGGGATCTGGAAGACTGTCAAGCTGAGACCAGAGTAGCGGTTGTGTTGATGAGGTGGGTTGGGTAGGATGGGCTGCAGAATGGATTTGACCTCTTTAGTAGCATTCCACAATCTAAATCCCGTAAAAGAGGGCAGGGCTGGAACAGAGGAGAAGAAGAAGCTTCAGATACACACACCCCCAAGCCATACCAGGATCAATATTTAATATAGCAACTCCCCAGATATTTAATTGTTTCTTTTCCATTAAAATCTAGTTAGGGACAACAGGTTCTTGGGTTTGCCTTGGCTGTTAGGTTAATTTTTGCATCCCAGAAGGCAAGAACAGAAATTCACGCGATTGTTCTGACTGAAGCTTCCAGAGAGCATGAAGCAAACTTCTTGTCCCGACAAAAACCCCTTTTATTAATTGACTGTGAATTCTGCTCATTCACACCCAGCAAAAGTCTTTCAAACGGAGGATTTACAGTCACAGACCTTATCTGGCTTGGAGAGCTGCCAGGCCGAGATCTGCAAAACCTGGCAAGGAGTCTCGGAGAGTCACGAACCAATGAAGCTAACTAATTGTCTCCTGCAAACTCCACTCCCCTGTCGCTCCTCTTTTATTCCCTCTGGGAGAGGCCAGAGGAGAAAAACCCCTTTTTATTAATTGACTGTGAATTCTGCTCATTCGCACCCAGCAAAAGTCTTTCAAACGGAGGATTTACAGTCACAGACCTTATCTGGCTTGGAGAGCTGCCAGGCCGAGATCTGCAAAACCTGGCAAGGAGTCTCGGAGAGTCACGAACCAATGAAGCTAACTAATTGTCTCCTGCAAACTCCACTCCCCTTTCGCTCCTCTTTTATTCCCTCTGGGAGGGGCCATTCATCCTCCACCTGTGGCCTTATATTCCCAAGTCGACCCCTGTTC